CCCGTGGTGCTCTCGGCCTCGATTTTGTCCATCTGCTGTTTCGAGGCTGAAGGTGGAGTGGCCGATGGCCGCCATCGCAAAGCGCTCGTCGCGCTCGTGGGCGTTCTTGAACGCGACCGCCCGTAGGAGCACCCCGTTGGTGTCCGCAAATGCGTTGGTGCCGTCGTAGTTGGCTGTTACTGTGCTGACCCCGCCCTGTGCTGCTCGCCATTGGGCAGCTGGTACGCAGAGTATGCTGTTTTCTCGGCATCTGTGCGGTAGGCCGCGGCATCTGTGCGGTGGGCCGCCTTGGGCCCGCGGTGGGTGGTCGGGCGGTGGTCCGCGCTGGTGGGTGCCCGAATGCCAGGCCGCGCCGAAAGCGTCGTAGACGTGTAGTAGTCGTTTGCCAAGGGTGCCTGGTTTATTGTTGTTTTCTCTGCTGAGAATGCCTGCGAGCGGTGCCCATCTAGTGGGGTGGTCTGGCAACTGCGGGACTGGGTGAGGGACTCATGTAAGTAGTCCTAGTACTCGTAGTCCAGCTCGCTGATCTTGGTGGTTTCTATTCCTGCGTAAGTACCCCCGCCCACCCCGTAGGATCGTTGTGCCCGCGCATCTTCGTAACACTCGCTTTGCTGCATGGCCCCCCCCCCAGTTCACTGCTCGTAGTCCATCCACATTTATGCGACAGCTCCCTGCCCTTCTTGAACTTTCCCAATGTACTGTACTGGGCTAGGTCCTCCTCGTCCTTTCTCCTCTCTGCTGCTACTATTCTACGCTCTTCTAGCTGGTCAGATACTTGGGTCGGGTTGTGAAGATGTAGCATCGGGTCTCGCATAAGCCAAACGAACTCGGTCGGGATGCCCGGGGCTGGCCATGCCCTCCGTTTGCACGCTCGTTGGCAATAGCGTAGCATAGCCCTTTTGTCGTCGGCAACCTGTCCTTGAAGTTCCGTGTCTATGGGTCGTCTGTCTACTGATTCGGCCGTGTATTCGCCATGCTCGCGAGGTCGGTCGATCGGTATCGCCGCAAGCTCCCCATCTAGTGCCGACCGACTAAGTTCTTCTAGCCAGTGCGCCGTGGCCCAGTTCGTTTTCGGTGATAGGTACTACCTCTTTTTGGGGCCTCGTCCGTTCCGCTGGTACTGGATTAGTAGTTGGTGCATCTCTGCGAAGTTGCGCTGCTGGTAGGCCTCCCATATTTTCTCGACGATGTACGCCCTTCTTTTTGTCCCTACCTTCTCTCTTACTGTCTTTAGGACAGCACTCAACTCCTTCAGTTCGGCCTGTACCTCGTCGTACTCGATCGCTGACCTCTCGTCGGTCAGTTGTCATCGCAGCACTCTTCGGTGTTCGAGCAATCGTGGTCTTTCCTCTTATAGTACGTGTAGTTCGTCGGTCGCATCCGTCTTCGCAAATGTGGTCAGTAGTGCCTTCCGTGTTGCGCCTCCTATCAAGTCCCAAGTCGTATCTGGAGTCGGTTCTGCCAGGGCCTCCTCCCGCCTGCCCCTGCCCACCGCCCGCACCTCCTGGTTCAGCTGTTGTATCAAGTGGCCTCGCTTGTACCGGCTGCACAGGCAATCCATAAACCCATCCCTGCATAGTTCCTGCGCGGGGTGGGAATGCGGTGGTGGATGTGGAGGCGAGGAGGGTGAGGCCAATTAGGACGTGTTCACGATGGCCTTGCACTTTGATCTTCTGTAGTCGCCAGAGCGGCCGTAGTACTTAGCCCCGGTGTTGTAGTGAGTGGTGACGATGCTGAGATCGCTGGTTTCGCGCATTTCTCTGAAACGGGTCCCGTTGTTGTTCTCTACCTTAAGTTGGTGGGGGCCCACTGTGGGGCCTTTGCTGCAGACGATGGAGCCGTCTATAGTTCCTATGGCAGCCGAAATCGCTGTTGACGTCGCCCCCAGTACTTCTGTAGTGCGGCATCCTAGTTTGTCTGTACTTCCTTCCAACCAGTGGGTAAGGCTGTCCGCCAGCAGAGGGTAGTAACGCTGATGAGTAGGGGCGTAGTAGCAAACGTAGAGGGCGTAGTCGTATTGGGTCGTAGTTCGTCGGGCTCCTGCCACACGTCCCTGGAGGTAGTTGGGTGGGGTGTAGAATCTCGCGGATGGCTCTCTCGTCTATTCTATGGCTTATTAGTATGGCCGTCCCACAGCTTTTGTTAACCCACTTCCCGTTTCGGGCCCCAGAATGTAGGACGGTGTGGGAGGGAAGGTAGTTACGTTGTGCAGCCTCTGGTCCTGCCCAGCGGCACGTACCGCTGAGTACTATGACGTCCCAACTGTGAAGTTCAGCGCTGATATCTTCCAATCGTTCCATTGTGCCAACCTCCAGTGGGCTGTAGTAGCATGTTCTCATCGTGCGATGAGGACGGACGCCGCCATGAGGCCCCCCAGTCTCCCTGCTCCCGAAGCATGTGGTCTGGGGGCGCAGCGGTGCTGCTGTACAGTTGTACGTGAGGTGCACTGATCACCGAACCTCGAGCGACCTGACGCTGTCCTGCCACTGGCGCGACCCTTCAAGACCAATTTCATACTACTTCCATCCCTGTCGGCAGTCGGACATGGCTGTCCTCTGGTGAACAACGTCTCGACCTTGCGCAAGGTGAGAGGGCGATGGCGGCATCACCACTGCCTCCAGCAAGCGCGCGATGAAGCCCTCATCGCAACTTCGATGTATTCATGTGTCTTTCCCCTGGCCTCTGGAACGAACTGGCTCACGAACATTATGCACACCAACGACCCACCCGCGACCCACCCGCGACCCACCCCGCGACCCACTCGCGACCCGCCCGCGTTCCATCCCGCGCCCCACCCGCGCCCCACCCGCGACCAACCCGAGACCCATCCCGCGCCCGCCCCCTCACTCTTATCTGCGACTGCGGGGTGCTACATACAAACGTCGAACAAATATAAAAACGCCCAGCCGTTTCGAACAAATGCATCAACGAAACTGGGCTGAAGGACTGCGATGTCGAAGCCAACGTTCGCCATGGCGGCGGCGGACAGGGCAGGGCCGAGTACGTTCGGCAAAGGGACCTCCGAGAGGAACCATCACGATATGGGCCCGGAGCCCGCCTGGTGTCCGGTGACGTGGACCATTGGGGGGCAACGATATGGGACTGGCGCAGGGAGGAGACATCGACCTGTAGTCGGCGATACATCGTCGATCGATCGGCGACAAGCCCCCGATGTAGCGCAGCCGCATGCTCCTGGGCGGGGTGGCTTTTCGGGCCCCTCTCAGGGATCAATGGGCGATTGGGGGTCGTTACGTCCCCCTCTAAGCCTATCCCCCATTCCCCCCCAATCGTTGCCCCTGGACCATCACCGCGACCAGTTCTATGATCGCCAAGGCCTGTGGCATCTCCAAGTCCTCCGTCGAACAATCCTACATGGGCAGCCCAGGTGCAATGCAGTGGTTTGCGCTGGAGCCCGCCGCGATCACTGCGAGCGACGCTCAAGGTTCCCTGCGAGAGCTCCGCGACGTCGCCGAGACAAGCCAAGAGGCTTCCAAAACGACGCTTGGGGCTGCGACTGGACCCCAAGAGAGCTGTCACGAAGCACCGATCAGCGCACTATGGGCTCCGATGGACGGCTCTGGGAGGCCGCAAGGGACGCCCCAGCAACAGAAATCAGTCAACCAGGCGTTCATTTCCCAATTCTTCTCGGTCCACGACAATCCCAAAGCGACTTGCCCACTTGCCCAGAAGGCCTGGCAGGAGAGACCCTCTCCTCCGATGTCGTAGAATCGAACCTGATAGTAAGGATGCGCGGTAAGGATGCAAAGGGCCTCGAATGCCCATGCCGAGGCTCTTCGAGCGGGGCTGGCCGTCGAACGTGGTTGAGGATGGATCAGAGATGAACGAAGAAGCAAAAAAGCAAGGGTACCCTTGGGAAGTCGACCATCCTTAATGTCAGCTTCGACTGTGTACTTTGGCACTTTTTACGTCGCAACGCGGCAGAGGCAGTCCGCACGCGCGCTCGGGCAAGCCCGGAGACGGCATCGCTCATTGTCCGGCAGCAAGAGCGGGAAAAAGGGGCAGAAGGAAGCGGCCGCGGGGCAGGGGGGAAGTAGGAGAACGCTCGCGCGGCGAGGGCCGCTGCGGAGCGGCAGGGGTGGTCAGCCGGTGCTGCGCCTCTGGCAACGGGCGCTGGGCGGCGTCGCGGCCACACCCAGAGGCTGGGGCAGAGGCTGCAATGTGCGAAGAAGAAGTGCAACGACACGCCCCCTCCAAAGATCTCGACCGCTTGTTTCTCCAGGGTTGGCTCTGCACCACGAACACTTTTTCTGACAGCCCCGAGGCTGGGAGCGGCCTCTCTGGAGGCCGAAGGCGTCCAGACGCTGGCCGTGCCACGACTTTTCTGCGTCGCCTTGATCTGGGGGCCTGAGGGAACGCGTGGGGGAGACAGAGGAGGAGGAGGAGGAGGAGGAGGAGGAGGAGGAGGAGGAGGAGGAGGAGGAGGAGGAGGGAGGAGGAGGAGGAGGAGGAGGAGGAGGACTCCCTGTTCTTCGCTTCGTTCGTTCTCGATCGTCTCTCTCTCTCTCTCTCACACGGCCTGGCTGGCGTATACTCTGCCCTTCTGGGTCCGCGGTCTTTGTCTCTTGCGCCTATCCTGATTTCTGCTACGCCAGCCAGGCTTAACTTGCTGGCCTGCAGGCATGAGTCGGCGCTCATTTCTCCTTACACGGACGCTACAGCCTTGACGCTCGAGTTTGCCCAACGTCCAAAAGGAGGAGGAGGCGGAGGAGGAGGAGGTGGAGGAGTGGGAGGAGGAGGAGGAGCAGGAGGAGGAGGACGAGGAGGAGGAGGAGCAGGAGGAGCAGGAGGAGGAGGAGGAGGAGGAGGAGGAGGAGGACGAGGAGGACGAGGAGGAGGAGGAGCAGGAGGAGCAGGAGGAGCAGGAGGAGGAGGAGGAGGAGGAGGAGGAGGAGCAGGAGCAGGAGCAGGAGGAGGAGGAGGAGGAGGAGGAGGAGGAGACCTGCGTCCTCCTTGCCCTTCGCCTCGCCTCCCGCCCCCGCCTCGGCGTCGGGCGTCTCGCGCCAGACCGCGATGAAGGCCTGGGCCGGCGGCGACCCTCCCCCTGTGCGACCCCCCCCCATGCCTCCAAGGCTGCTCGCCTCGGGCGGCCCCAGAGGTCCCGACCCCCCCTTTCCCAGAGGACGAACAAAACGCGGCGCAAACGCACAACCGAAGCTCGGACAGAAGACCACCCCTCGAGAGCACGAGACCCTTCGCCGGCCAGAACGCAAGCAGGACCTCCAAGGGTTCCCTCCCCAGGGTGCACAAGAACATCCGACAGGCGCGAAGAACACTGGGGCACCCTGCCCGAACCGACCTCGATCTTATACCTCGGTCCGATCCGTAAGCTTTCGGAGCTTCGCGCGGATTTCTTGGATCTGCGCTGGGGGCCTCCTGGAGGCGCCTCTGGGCCGCCCCTGGCGCGCTCCGCGCGCCAGGGAGGGGGATCCAGCGCAGATCCAAGAGAACCGGGCGGGGCTCCGACAGTTTATGTTATGCAGTTTTCTTCTTTGACTTCCCTGGGGCGGGATCAGTCAGCGTCGAATCGGGACATCGAATCGAGCAGAATTGTGCGTTGAATCGGGCTGCAGCGGCACAGACTCGGAATCGAATCGGTTTGGCTGCGCCAGGATGCACAGCAAAGCCATGCCAGCATCGGGCCGCATCGGACCTGTGACGGGCCAAAGAAGCAACTGTCTGTGAAAAACGCCGGGGTGGACAACTTCGTGAGGTAGGTTCGTGAGGCGTTGGCGCGCGCAAAGGATTTTGACACCGCATCGATCGTTCAACCTTAGGTCGTTGGACGAAAAATGGAAAAATGGTCGAACAATATTTCAACAGATAATCAAAAATACTCAACATTCGTTCCCCGACTATTTTTTGATCTTTGAATTTCACTCCTGTAGGAGGACATGCCCGACTTAAATTAACCTTGAGCCGATCGTGGCCCCAATCGTTCAAGGCTGAATTCCGTCGGGTCCTGTGGCGTTACCGCGCCCCTCGGTGGTTCCGCGTCGTTCCATCATGCGGAGCTCAGCCGTGAACACCTTCGCTGGCGTCGCCGGCGCGCCATCGCCGCATGAACCTGCCGTCGGGGCCCGGTGACGGGCCAAAGAGGCAGAAATCTACAGTCGAGAGGTACTACCAGAAATAATGTGAATTAAGGAACGAAGCCCTTTCTCGGCCCCAGACGTGCCCAGTGGGGGCGGCGGTGATTCGCCGCAGGCGTCTTCGATCCGCCGCCCTCTGTTGATTTATCACAGGGGTGCCTGGCATGCCAAATCTCGACACAATTTTTGTTTTCTTTGAAGACTCCCCCTGAGGTTTCGGCTGCGCCGGCCACTCGCTAAGCTCCGGGCGGGCTGGTTGGCAAGGGTTTTTCCGCTCCATATGGCTCCAAGATGGCTTCCAAGACGGCCAAGATGGCCTCCAAATTGGCCCAAGATGGTCCCAGATGGCCTCGAAGACAACACAAAAGAGAGTCCAAAATGCCTCCAAGTTCGCCCAAGAAGCCTCCAAGACGGCTCAAGACGGCCCCAGAGGCCTCCAAGAGACTTCCAAGACAGCCCAAGAGGCCTCCAAGAGGTCCTCCAGGAGGGCCCGAAGAGGCCACAATCATGCATTTTCCTTAGGTTTTTAAAGGATTTTGGCATTTGCTTCGTTTCTGCCGTCCGACGGCTCAAGACGGCCCAGGATGGCCCAAGAGGCTCCCAAGATTGCACCAAGATCGCCCAAGAGGCCTCCAAGATGGCCCCAGGACGGCCCAAGAGGATCCCAAGTCAGCCCCTAACGGGCCCCAAGTCTGCCCAAGAAGCCTCCAAGACGCCCAAGATGGCCTCCAAGACAGCCCTGAAACACCCCAAGAGAGCCTCACGAGACCCCCAAGACGCCTTCCGACGGCGTCTTGGGGCCAGGAACGCCGTGAGACGGCCAAAGAGGCTCCCAAGAAGCTCGCAAAGGCCCCCAAGAGGCACAAGCAGGCCCCCAAGAGGCCTCCAAGAGGCCCCCCGAAGAGTGCCCCAAGTGGCTCCCAAGAGGCCTCCTCCTCCTCCCTCTCCTCCTCCTCCTCCTCCTCCTTTTTCCTCCCTCTCCTCATCCTCCTCGTCCTTCCCCCACGTTTTCCTCGAAGGGTTTCCAAAACGGCTGGGGGAACGCATGTTCCAGTAGCGTGCCCAAACTTTGCCCAAACGTTTCGCCACATAAGCGTATCCTAAAAGGCTGGGGGCGGCGATGATTCGCCGTAGGCGTCTTCGATCCGCTGCCCCCTGTGCTTGCCACAGGGGTGCACGGCGTGCTAAAATTTAGATAGGTGTTGACCCTTTGCCACCATATCCTGAGATGGCTTCCTGTTAACACTTAGACGCCGCCGACTCACTTCACCTCATTCCTCCTCCTCCTTCTCTCCGTTTTCCTCTATACCCACTCGCACTCAGACTCACTCTTATTCGGACTCACTCACCTTCGGATTTAATCGCACTCAGACTCACTCGCGCTCAGATGTACTCGAGCTCAGACTCACCCATACTCAGACTCACTCGCACTCAGACTCACTCGCACCCATATTCATTGGTACTCGGACTCACTCGCTCTCAGACTCACTCACGGTCAGACTCAATCAAGCTCAGACACACCCACACTCAAACTCACTCGCTCTCAGACTCACTCGCACTCTGACTCACTCACACTCAGACTCACTCACACTCAGACTCATTACCACTCAGACCCGCTCAGACTTAGACTCACTCACATCCAGGCTCACTCACACTTAGACTCACTCGCACTCAGCCTCGCGACGCACTCGCGCTCGGACTCGCAGATTGTGAGCGTGGCTCATGCGAGGCGCTGGTCTCAGCATCGCAAAGGGGGGACCGCCAAGGGTGATCGGACCGGCCCGTTCGCGCCCAGCTGGGGCTGCCCCAGGCGGCTTGCTTGCCTCGGAGCCTCGGCTCCCCACCTTCGGTGCCCGTCCGCGGGCCGCCCTTCGGCGGCGCGCTGCCCTCCCCGGCGGCGTGCTGCCCACACGGTCTTCTCCCGGCAGCGGGGGCCACTGGCCTCGGCCGCAGCTTTGGCTGGCCGCGGTGCGCCGCTGGCGGTCCCCCCCGACGGCGAGCGGCCGCCCCGGGCCCCTCCCTCGCCCGCCCTGTCCACCTGGGAAGGGGGGGCTGCTGCCTCTGGCCGCTGCTTTGGCTGGCCTGCGGTGCGCCGCTTGCTGCCATCCCCAGCAGCGAGCAGCCGCCGAGGCTCTTCACAGTATGCGCTTCCACTCTATTGCGCCAGTTCGGCGCTCCCCCTTGCCTTCGGTCGGGCATGTCCCCCTACAGGCGGATCTTGGGCGAAACATTTTTAAAAGGCAACTAATCAGATAATTATAGTCAACGAAAAAATAGCCTGGTGAAGGACCCATCCATGTGCAATTGTGGGTACAGCCGTTGTGTGCACTGCAGTCGGTAGGGCTCCCTATGAGGCTGCGAAAAGTGTGAGGGGTGTGCCAAAAGTGGGCGCGGTGGGCGCAGGCGAACGCTGGCATTTGGGCCTTCGGTGGGCTCCTTATGGGGCCACGAAGCGTGTGAGGGGCGTGCCAAAATAGGTGCGGTGGGCGAGTGCGAACGCTGCATATGGGCCTTCGGTAGGGCTCCCTATGGGGCCACGAAGCGTGTGGAGGGTGTTCCAAAATTGATGCGGTGGGCGCATGCGAACGCTGGCATTTGGGCCTTCGGTGGGGCTCCCTATGGGGCCACGAAGCGTGCGACGGGCGTGCCAAAAGGGGTGCGGCGGGCGCATGCGAACGATGGCATTTGGGCCTTCGGTGGGCTCCTTATGGGGCCACGAAGCGTGAGAGTGGTGTGCCAAAATGGGTGCGGCGGGCGCATGCGAACGTTAGCCTCTGGGAGTTCGGTGGGGCTCCCTGTGGGGCCACGAAACGTGTGAAGGATATGCCAAAAAGGGTGCAGCGGGCGCATGCGAACGCTGGCATCAGGGCCTTCGATGGGGCTCCCGATGAGGCCACGAAGCGTGTGAGGGGTGTGCCATGTTGGATGCGGCGGGCGCGTGCGAACGCTGGCATTTGGGCCTTCAGTGGGGCTCCTTGTGGGGCCACGAAACGTGTGAAGGGTGTTCCAAAATGGGTGCGGCGGGCGCATGCGAACGATGGCATTTGGGCCTTCGGTGGGGCTCCCCATGGGGCCACGAAGCGTGCGACGGGTGTGCCAAAAGGGGTGCGGCGGGCGCATGCGAACGATGGCATTTGGGCCTCGGTGGGCCTGTGTATGGGTCCACGAAGCGTGTGACGGGTGTGCCAAAATGGGTGGCGGTGGGCGCATGCGAACGCTGGCATTGGGCCTCCGGTGGGATTCCCTAAAGGGCCACGAAGCGTGAGAGTGGTGTGCCAAAATTGGTGCGGCGGGCGCATGCGAACGTTGGCCTTTGGGAGTTCGGTTGGGCTCCCTGTGAGGCCACGAAACGTGTCATCGGGTGTGCCAAACTGGGTGCGGCGGGCGCGTGCGAACGCTGGCATTTGGGTCGGTAGGGCTCCCTGTGCCCACGGGCACCACAAATGACTCACCAGCAGGCGCTTCAACAACGGCCGCGTCAGCCTCTGCTTCCCAAGTCGAGGCGGGCCTGCCCCACTCGCTGTTTACCGCTTGGGTGCACGTGGGGGCAGGCTCCAGCAGACCATGTGGCGACTGAGCCCAACCCCTCTCGATGTTTACCCCAAGGGTGCACCTGGGGGCTGGGACTTGCGTTCTACTGCCGGTGACCTCCTGCTCTGTGTCGGCGTGGGGCTTTGGCGAGAGCCGCTTTGGGATCAGCGGTTCGCGCGAAGTTAGGCCGATCTCCCGCGCGGATGGACCCGCAGCACCCACGCCTCCACTATCTTACAAGCCTGGGCTCGACGCTCGAGCCGCCAAGCGGCGCAGCGTGGGCGAGTCCAGCGTGCCAGAGAGCGCCTGCCGAGGCCTGGGCAGCAGGCCTGGGACCTCGAACCCGAGCCCGAGCTGCCCCCACTCCACGTCCACGACGTTGTGGTCACAGAAGCGGCGC